GGGCACGGCTGACAGGACAGCCTTGCTGTGTCGGGCAGGCTGGTTGGGCCTGGCCCAGTCCTGGTTCTGCCTTTGTCCTGCACTGGTAGAGCTACCTGGGGCTGTGCTCTGAGGAAGAACTGAGGCCTCTCAGGGTTGCACTCAGGTCCTGAGTGAGATGCCTGCACAAGGGGTATGGTACCTGGGAGGTGCGCAGACCTCGGCTGTGGGAGTTCTCATCGCTCTGGCGGTTGCCGGTCTCTGGATTGATGGCCGCTTTGTTCTCTTCCCTGGCAGGATGACGGAGGCTGGACGCCCATGATCTGGGCCACGGAGTACAAGCACGTGGACCTCGTGAAGCTGCTGCTGTCCAAGGGCTCCGACATCAACATCCGGGACAACGTAAGTTCATCTCAGCTCCCCGGAGCAGTGTCTTGGAGGGGTGGGGACCTCCTCCTCCAGAAGGTTCTTTTCTCAACAGCAGAACCCTGGCCCCTGGTGGCGGCTTTGACCTCTTCCTGTGGCAGCATCGGCCCGGCGCTTAGCTGTGGCTGTCCTGGGCCGGAGGCAGATGGGGGGTGTGAGGTCCCAGCAGAGGCCACCCTCTAGGGACCTGCGGGTTCAGAGGGCGCTGCCTGCCCTGCTGTGCCTCCTGCTGCCTCATGGGGCCGTGCCTGGGCCTGAGGCTGCTGACCTCGTGCAGGTGCCACAGCACCTCTGGCTCTCCCTCTGTTTTTGTTTTTTGGTTTTTTTTTTTGGATGGAGTCTCGCTGTGTCGCCCAGGCTAGAGTGCAGTGGTGCAATCTCGGCTCACTGCAAGCTCTGCCTCCTGGGTTCAAGTGATTCTCATGCCTCCGCCTCCCCAGTAGCTGGGATTACAGGTGTGTGCCACCGTGCCTGGCTAATTTTTGTATTTTTTATTTGTTTGTTTTTGAGACGGAGTCTCTCTCTGTCACCCAGGCTGGAGTGCAGTGGCGCGATCTGACCTCACTGCAACCTCTGCCTCCTGGGTTCAAGCAGTTCTCCTGCCTCAGCCTCCGGAGTAGTTGGGATTATAGGTGCCCACCACCATGCCTGGCTAATTTTTGTAGTTTTAGTAGAGACGGGGTTTTGCTGTGTTGGCCAGACTGGTCTCAAACTCCTGACCTCAGGTGATCCACCCGCCTCAGCCTCCCATAGTGCTGAGATTACAGGTGTGAGCCACCACGCCTGGCCAATTTTTGTAGTTTTAGTAGAGACAGGGTTTAGCCATGTTGGCCAGGCTGGTCTTGAACTCCTGACCTCAGGTGATCCGCCCACCTCATCCTCCCACAGGATTACAGGCATGAGCCACCGCGCCTGGCCTCTGCCTCTCTCTTTGAAACAGAGGAAAGAGAAGTGAATCGTTTATCGCACCACGGTTTTCTAGGGTGTGATTCAAGATGCTTCAGTGACAGTTTTGTAAGGCCCTTTTGTTTGCTCAGAAAATAGAGTTTGGAGCTGAGATAAGAGGACTCCCCAGTTCTGGGGTGGCTCCTTCAGCCTGAGAGTGGCAGCAGGCGACTGATTAACTCAAAAGGTTGTTCACTAGAAGGTCTTCAGGGACCCACAGAACCAGTGGGGCTGCCAGGGGGCTGGGCATGGCAGTGGGCACGACAGCTAGGGGCGAGGGGAGTCCTCTGGTCACCTCCCAAGACGGGCATAGACATGCTGCAGCCCACAGAGCTGTGTCCACCTTCACAGACGGGCTCCAAAAGCCATAAATGGGAAGTCCAGCCACAAATAAACTCATTAAATTGATCATAAGAAAGAAGATTTGACACAGAGAAAGATTTCTAAAAGCACACTATTAAATCTCCAGTGTGCTGAAGCCTGGCGTCTGAGGAGGGAGGGTTGACACTGCCTCTCAGAGCCTGAGAACAGCGTGGGCACGGGCACTTGCCATTCATTGTTGGCACGGGGGGGTCTGCATTTGGAACCCCTCCCTGCATGTGAGCAGACCCCGCTGTGGTCCACTGGCCGTGGGCACCCTCCGCCTCCCTGCAGGCACACAGGCCTCTCCGGAGTGACCGGTCCTGAGCCGCGGTGCCTCCGTGGGCTGCAGGCTTCCGTGACTGTGTCTGGGGGGTTTCTACCTCGTTCCACCGGAGTTCTTTCCCGCTGGGGGTTAGGACAACGGCACTGTGGTGAGAGGAGCCCTGAGCCGGCAGAAGGAAGAGAAGAGGGAAGCAGAGGCAGGGGAGCCCTGAGCCAGTGGAAGGCTGTGGCGGGTACCTTGGAGGAAGAGAGGAGGGAAGCCAAGGCAGAGGACAAGGCAGAGGCCACCCCCAGGTGGGGCCGCCTCACCTACCACCCCCGGAGACTGTGTGGCGGGCAAGGCAACCCTAGTGTGGCTGGTTGGCCTGCGTGCCTGGGCAGCTTGCAGCCTGTCCAGGTGTCAGAGCTGTTAGCTCTCTGATGCTGGTGGCTGTTTCCCCGGAATGGAAGCATTGATTAAATTTCAGGTTTGTTATTTAGAGAATGAAACACTTCATTAATGTAACTACTGTATTGCTGTATAATAGGTAGGCTGCATATACTCAAAGTACACACTCGGGTGAATTTTCACCCGGAAGCCATCGCTGCTGTCGGAAGAGTGAGCCCGGTCCTCTCTCATGCCCTGATGATCTATCTTCAGGTGATTCCTCCGCACTTCACAGCCGTGCCCAGCCCACCCCTGCCACCCGTCGCTGGGCTTTCCGCTATCTGCGTGTCTCGGTTTTATAGAAAAGGGCTGTCACCATGGGCGCCTTTCCCTTGCATCTTGAACCCGAGATCCCCATTTTCGTTGCCTGAAGTGCCCGTTGTGTGAATGTGTCCGTTTACCCTTCACCTGTCAGTGGGCATTTAGGTGGTTTCTGATTTTTGGTTGTTACTAAGAGAGGTGCTGTGAATACTCATGCCTTAATTTCTCTGGATTAAATCCCTGGGAGTAGAATGGTTAGATCATAGGATAGGTGTGTATGTTTAACATTTGCAGAGACTGCCAGTAGCCGGGCATGGTGACACACACCTGTGGTCCAGCTACTCGGGAGGCTAAGGGGGGAGGATCGCTTGAGCCCAGGAGGTCAAGGCTGCAGTGAGCTGAGATCGCACCACTGCATCCTAGCCTGTCTGCAAGAAAAACAAAGCCTGCCAAACTGCTTTCCAAGTGATGGCACCATCTCTAGTGTATGACAGTACATTCATCCGTTCTCACACTGCTATCAGGGTTCTACCTAAGACTGCGGAATTTATAAACAAAAGAGGTTTAATTGACTCACAGTTTAGCATGGCTGGCGCGGGGGGGGGGTCTCGGGAAACTTAACAATCATGGCAGAAGGCAAGGAGAAGTAAAGCACGTCTTCCATGGTGGCAAGAGGGAGATTGAGGAGCCTTGTACCACACTTTAAAACCAGCTGTTGTGAGAACTCACATGAGAACAGCATGGGGACCCACCCCCATAATCCAGTCAGGTCCCTCCCTTGACACGTGGGGATTACAATTCAAGACAAGATTTGGGTGGGGACACAAGGCCAACCCATATCAGAGAGTCCTGGTTCCTCCGCATCCTTCCCAACATGTAGCATGGTCAGTCTGTAAATTTTATCCATTTTGGTAGGTGTAGTGATATGTTGTTGTGGTTTTAGTTTTCAGTCATTTCATTTTCATTTCTCTCATGACAGTTGACGTTAAGCATCTTTTTATGGGCTTATTTACGATCCATATATCTTCTTTTATGAAGGGTCTGTTCAAATCTTTTTCTTGCTTATTATCAGGTATTTTTTTAAATTCTGGAGGTTTAAGAGTTTATGTTCTGGATATAAGTCCTTTATCAGATATATGGTTTACAGATCTGTCTTTGGAAGTGTAGAATTTTAAAAGTTTTTATAAAGTGTGGTTTATCAGCGTTTTTCTTTTTTTTTTTTAACTGGATCCTGTTTTGGCGTTCTGTTTTAAGAAATCATTGCCTAATCTGAGAACCCAAAGATATTCTCCCACATTTCCTTATACGAGTTTTATGATTTGGGGGTTTCCATTTAGGTCTACGTTTTATTATAGTTGACTTTTGTATATGGTGTGAGGTATAGATTGAACCTTTTTTTTTTTTTGCTTGTGGATGCCTAGTTCAGTGCCATTTGTTGAGAAAACCATTCTTTCTACATAGAATTGACTCTGTACCATTGCCAAAGGCCAGTCATCTGCACGTGTGAGTCAGTCATCCATGTGTCAATCCACGTGTGTCAGTCGTTTGCATGTGTCAGTCATCCATGTGTGAGTCAGTCATCTGCATGTGTGAGTTCACTTGTGTCAGTCGTCCATGTGTGTGTCAGCCATCTGTATGTCTGTCAGTTGTCCACATGTGTCAGCCCACATGTCTGTCTGTCGTCCACATGTGAGAGTCAGTCTGCATGTGTGAGTCAGCTGTGTGTGTGTGTGAGCCTGTCATCCGCATGTGTGAGTCCATCATCTGCATATGTCAGTCATCTGCATGTGTGAGTCATCCATGTGTCAGTCATCCACATGTGAGTCAGTCATCTGCATGTCTGTCATCCACATGTGTCCACATGTGTGTCATTTGTCTACATGTGAGGGTCAGTCATCTGCATGTATGAGTCAGTCATCTGCATGTGTGTGAGTCTGTCATCCACATGTGTGAGTTGGTCATCCATGTCAGTCGTCCGCATGTGTATCAGTCGTCTGTATGTGTGAGCCAGTCATCCACATGTCAGAGTCAGTGGTCCACATGTGTGTAAAGTCAGTCATCCACATGTGTGTGTCAGCTCCAGGACCCTCTCTTTTGATGCATTGATCTGCATATTTGCCTTTAGGCAAGTACTGTCCTTGCTTGACTGATGTAGTTTTACAGTAGGTCTGGCAAAATCATTTTTCTTCTCCCAAACTTGATACTGCTATTCTTCTACATTTTACATACATACATATATAGATATAAAAAATATCTATATGTTCTGAACACCATAATAGCCATATGGTTATTCTGTTTAAACAGTCATTGGTCTTTTTTTTTTTTTTTTTTAATAGAATCTCACTCTGTTGCCCAGTCTGGAGTGCAGTGGCACGATCTCGGCTCACTGTAACCTCCGTGTCCCGGGTTTGAGCAATTCTCATGCCTTGGCCTCCTGAGTAGCTGGGATTACAGGCGCGAGCCACCACGCCTGGCTAATTTTTGTATTTTTAGTAGAGATGGGGTTTCACCATGTTGGTCAGGCTGGTCTGGAACTCCTGACCTCGTGATCCACTCATCTTGGCCTCCCATAGTGCTGGGATTACAGGTGTGAGCCACCGTACCTGGCCTGGTCTTTTTTTTTTTTTTTTGGA